TAGAATCAATCCAAATTTTTGAAAATAAACCATTTCAAATTTTAAAATATATCCCGAAAATAAGTTCCCAATAGCCCGCATGCTTTATGTACCATTACCAACGAGGAACGCTATGTTGGGATTACGGTAATTTAGTTTGATGCAGAAATTTATTCACCTAAAACATATTACAGTGATACAATAAAGAATGGATAAATGGAGATTAGATCTTGTTTTAGTGAGAAAAGAAAGTTGGCTTTTTGCATCGAGACACTAGAAAATATTATAAATGCCATGAAGTAAAGTAGTATCTACTAGAGAAGTTACAACGCTTTCTTTTTGATTATTTGAAACATTTGATCATGAAAACCGTTGTTTGAACGGTCTACTGAAAATTCGAAAGTCTCAGTCATCTCATAACTCAGATGACCTAGATCTATTTGAACAAAAATACCGAGTCGATGGATGTGGAAAGGGTGGAAGGTGGTATCCTCGTCGTAAAAAGCTTGGTGATAGTGTGTATTGTACTCATCGTATTGGGCGAACAGATATACAGTCGAATCATTTCATATGATCATGTGTGCACCCGCACACACCGTCCATCTTTGGCGTCCTCGCCCTGGATTTGCAATCGTTAAAACGCAAGAGAGTTTCTGATTGCTATCGCTTATATCATTTTGAGGTGAATAGTATCTAAAAAGAAAAGAAAACGAACGAAAACGCATCAAAACATTTACCTGAAGAGCTGCCTCCTCCAAGAATCCAGGATGGGAACGCCAAAGGTGGACAGTGTGTGTGATGACACACATGATCATATGAAATGATTTGAGTGTAGTAACTTTCGCAGCCGTGCATACTTAATGCTGCCGGCAGGCATTCGTGGATTGTAAAAGAAAAACACGTTTGTGAGACCTCATTTTGACAATTACAACTCCTTTTGAGGTTTGCTAGTGCGACTGCTATATCTTCTTGTCGCCGCAATGCAATACCATAAGTGCATATGTTAGGGGCTCTCGAGCAAGAGACCAGCTGCAAAAAAATGAAAATTTGAAGTTCCCGTCTTTTTTGAGCCTTCTGCAGCTTTCTGCAGTAGGCTTCAAAGTCTGAAATTTTTGAATTTTTTTTTTGCACTGAAAAGTCTTTCCTGCGAAAATGCTGACAAGGTCTTCCTTTCACGCTATTGATCTAAGCAGAGCTTTTGCCATTGTCTTCTTCAAAAGAATTTTTGAGCCATACTATAGCTGCAAATCTATCCATTTTGGATCGTCGATTTTTCAGCCTGAATTATCTCAAAAAGGGTCACCATCATTTCCAAAACGTAGGCAATTATTATCACCCTTCTATTTCCTAAAAGGATGCATCCCCTTGTGCTTGCAATAGAGAGGAAAGCGAATGCAATAAAAATCCGGCTTTGAGTGCGTCTGATGTCAAAATTTTATCATGTCCGTTCCAAAACCCCATTCATTTTGTCATTGTCATTTGTAATTGAATTCGATGCATTGCTGCGAACCCAAAGAGTAGAGTTTCTAAAGGATTAAAAGACTGATACTTGTATAATTGCTCGCGTCTTGCGAGAAATGCGTTATTTTTTGGCAATCTATATCTCAGATTTGTCATGACTTTTTACTAGTTCCACCTTTTCATCCTTCCTCCTTTCCTTCCTTAGGTGCAATTTATAGCGCAATTTGTTAACACAGACCTCTCACATGGATGCTATTTGTTCAAATAACAGTTTCACATGTATAATTACTGCTTCCATAACAACTATAATTATATCAGAGGGTCGAGATTCCAAACGAGAAGTGGACTGGCCTCATTAGCTAATTTATGATTAGATTAAGCGTTTCCTTTTTTACAACGAAAAGGCTCCTGCAGCATATCGTGTCATTCTTGGAACCGGAACCATTTCCTGATCGGGTTTTGCAAGGGGAAGAGATGGACAACTTTTACGTAGTAAGAAAAGGAAAACCTCGCAAGATGAAGCAAAGTACATTATTTATGAAACTTCTTCGTTTTCGACTTTCGAGTTTTGACTTCCATCTAGAATAATCAAGTTTTGCGGCTGAATGGTAAAGTACCAAAATTTGATTGGAACATAATGTTGTAGTTTTGCGTATGTCGTGATATGCTGAACACGTATATTCACTTTGCAAGAAAATTTTCGGTTTTCTTTTGGGGCGAAGCAAAAAAACATCTATTATAGCCCTTTTACAGCTACAAAGCCGCCACTGCAATTTTTCAATAGAAATGGTAGGCTTGTTGAACCCGTGAAGCTTTGTTTTTCTATGCTTCTCTCGCACAATAACTAAGAGAGGAAACCAAATCTTCGAAATTACGATAACTTGAAGTCAGTGGCTCGACACTGAAAACGTATCAAAATTCTGATTGAGGAGGTTGCTTGTGGTTAGGTCCCACCGCGTGCGCAAGCCGCTGTGCGAGCTCATACGAGTTGCGAATTTCCCTTCCGAAATCTCTGTATGAATTAGAGTCTTTATATAAATTACCGACTTAGAGCAGCGCTCGGATAACTTCAGGTGAGCAGAAATTTTTAGGTCGAAAGTTTGGAATGCCGCTGCCTTGGAGCTCGAAAGCGCGCAGAATTTTCAGAACGATTATTAGAGAGAAGTACAAACATTGAGAGTTGAGAAAAGTGGCAAATATTTATAGTTGTTCTACAATTTGATTTTTGAGAGTCTACTATTGCCTAACACTCCTAATACATGGAGATTTTTGATAATCACAACATCCGCCCTATTCTTCTTTACAAACTTCAAATGACAATTGAATTTACTGAACGTTTTCTAAGCTGTAATTTGACACGCATCGAAGAACAGGGGCTGAGTCAAGCACGCCTTACAGCGATGTTTCGCTGTTTAGCCCAACTGAAAGTAAGCAGGTTAGTTTTCACTACGTGAATGGGATTATGGTGCAGAGAAATGCAAGAACTTGCGTGCCCAGTTATATTTCCCTCACTAAGGTGCAGAAAGAATACTGTAAGAAATGCCTCGCAAAGCAAAATGACCAGAATTTCCAAGGACAGTAGGTCTGAACTTCAGTTTATCGTAAACAACCCGCACTGACAGTATTTATTGCCGATCACAACCAACTTAAAGTCATTTGATGCCTTCTAGAGCTACTTAAATTGACGGTGATCGCATATTGCCACTATTGCAATATTAGGCCTCGAGCAGAGTTCACGCGATTTGATCGTCGCGATTCAGTCGCTACAAGACAACCGTAACGAGTTCATTGCATGCCGATCAGCTTGCATTTCGGTTGTGATACTTTTCCAGCTCGAAATTTTTGAATGTAAAATGAAAATGAATGGAAATCGCGGCGATTAAATCGCGACGATCAAATCGCGTGAACTCTGTCCGAGGCCATAGGGGGTAGAGGACTATATGTCGCCGAAAAAGGGCGGTCCCCGCGGTCATTTGCGACAAATACGCACCCTTATGCATGCGCGGACATGCGTTCCTTCAGGGAATCCGCGCGGGACTTTTCCAAATTCGGCGACATATAGTCCTCCACCCGGCCATAGGGTGTCTGTGTGCCGACCAGCAAATGAATGTAAATGCTCTAACAGTACGCTGAGTAACCCATTTGAACAAAAATTTGCAGAGATATTTCAATGCTACACCTTCGATAGTTGTTAAATAGGTGCTTTAAAGACTAGCTGTTGACAACTCGTAGGTATGATATGCCTGAATTTGAACACCAATTGGGGTTTAAACCCTAATTCTCATAATTATAGACATTGTTCTTTGGTAAAGAGCATTGGAAGTGATCTATGCATAACTTGTCCGGAGGTAAAAGCCCGACCATATGGTTTGGTTTGGTTTTAATAAAATAATATCACATATCTCAAAGGTTTTAACTAGTGAAAATGGTTTAGGTTCCAAGGCAATAGAGTAAACATTTTTCTATCTCTGCGATTTAAGGCGGAAAATCAATTGTGAGCTCGCTACCCATCTTACTATTGTAGCAAGTATCTAAAAAAGGACAGGAAAATGAGCAGAGTCAGCACCTCGCGTTTTCTAGTTTTTTTTCGTTAAGATTCTGTGTTGCTCTAATGTGTTCCATACAAAGAACATGCAGTCTCCAGCTAAATGATTTTGATTCCGAGTACTCATGTTTTACTGCTTGTTCGTTGTGATTGCCAGAACAATGGTATCTTTGATCTAAAATTAATCAATTATCATGTTGAGGGCGGCATCTTACAATTGGTTGTCCTCCTTTTGAGGTCAAGACCGACCCTCGCATTAATAATCTACTAAGGAAAAGCGCATTTTTTATCAGGTTATCCCGTAAGTCCCGTCAATTTCCATTCCAACAACTCCCGATTTCTTTATCATCGAAGAAGCCCTGGGTTACCTTTTTACAGTGCAAAACAAGCTCTACAAAGTGGCCCCTGAACATCTGTATGGAGTACATTCCACACTGAGTTTAAGACTGAAATCTAAACATTTTCAGAAACCCGAAACTCAAAAAAAATTTAGAACTCCGCTCAAAAATCTTTTGGGAACTCTGATGCGTTCACTCATGTACACCTTCAGCCAACATTCATAATTTAATAAAGATTGTATAAACGTGAACAAGTCAGAGCTCCTTGAACATTTGTTGAGCAGAATTCCAATCTTTCTCGAGTGTTTGGTTTTTTTTGGATCCCTGTATTCAACCCAATGTGGAATGAACCCTGTGCGGATGTTTGGACGCCGCTTGGTGGAGCTTGCATTGCTCTGTCGAAAGCTATCCTAGAACTTTCTGGGAACCTTGAAAAATGGGACTTATTGGGATGAAAAATGAAAACGGACGGAACTTATGGAACAAACTAATAATTAAACTACTTTAGCTTGAGTAGGGCAAAAAGTAGACGATACTTTCGCATTAGAGAACCTTCAAATTAAGTGTTTCCTGAGTAGCCGTCGACATATAAAAGTTCAATGAAGCGCGACAGAGTAGTAATGTGCTGATCCAAGTTACTCTATATTCAAACAATAAAAGCAAAGCAGTCATTCAAACAACAACAGCATTTATTGCCAGATTACATGATGAAAAAGTCTTCATCACTCCAAAGGTCGTAATAAACTGGATACCACACTTTATTCTCAAGATCCAAGAGATAGAGTCCCTGGTTTGCTATCCAGGTATCGGTCGCATAACAATCGGCAGGAGGTGTGTAGTTGCTGTAAGAAATAGCGTTATGACATATACTAGATTGATTACTGCCTACTAAACAAAGTTGGAAAACACTGAAAGAAGCTTGTTTGCTATTACCAACTCAGACGCAATGTACTGTTGTAGATATAAGGAAGAAGAGATTGGGTTAGGCAGTAATGTGCGTAAGGCCCCTCGCAGAATTTACGCAATTTGATCGTCGCGATTGATCGCGACAAGATAATTGTAACAATATCGTTGCGTGCCGATCTTCTTGCATTTCGGTTGTGATAGTTTTCCAACATGTGTAATCGTGGCTAACTAACACAACCGAAACACATGAACATTGGCAAGCAATGAACTCGTAACAGCTGTCTTGTAAAGGGCCGCGCATACTTCGCGCATTTCAGTCGCGATGCGTCTTGGCTATGTTCCAACTGTCCATAACTTGTTGCAAGCACATTTTGAATGCACAGCAGATAGGGCATTCCATCAATCCACGTAAGTTATACGCACTGTGTATATGCAGCATGCTAGTATTGGATCTGAAGACTTCTGGCGAAGTGCCAAATTGCGTCGCGACTGAAATCGCGTGAAGTATGCGCGGCTCTCAAGGATTGAATCGCGAATCGTGTGAACTCTGTCCGAGGCCTAAAGGGCCGTGCGTACGTCAAACAATTTCATCGCCTTGCGCTCCCGGCAAGACAGCTGTGACGAGTTCATGCGGAACAAATCGTATTTCGGTTACGACAATTTTCAGACACGACTAATTGCGAATCCGAGATGCAACATGACCAGCATGTCTCATTGGGAGGAGATGAAACCGTGTGATGTATGCCCGGCCCTCGAACATTAATCACTTGGTCCTGCCATGTAAATCAGAATGCCTGAAGTGCGACTCAAATGTCTATGTAGCTATGAGTCACAGTGCAGCAGGGTCGATCCGATCAAGATCGTCATCATCGTCATTTTTTTTGTTTGAGTCATAAGCTCTCATTGAATCATTGCTAGATTATTGTTGTTCATTCTGTGCGATAAAACTCTTGCAGAGATCAAAGCAGAGGTACATACTAGCGCAACATATCGTGACTTACCCGAATCTCCTAAAGTAAATAAGAGATTATTGTTACATCTGCTGTTTATAATCTATTTATCACGCACGCAAGCCTATTTGCATTCAACTTCAAAAAAGCGCTAGCACATATCGGTCAGAACCCTGACTGATATGTGCGATCCAGCTCCGATTAGCTTGCTTCTAGGACACGCCTCCTCGAGAAATGACAATTGGTGGAAAGATCTGAACATCAAGTCTGTAGATACGCATCCGTTTGAACGGCCATCAAGTGCAAGTTGGTGCAGAAAGGTATTTTGACTAGATTTTGAAAGACGAATAGTTTGAAGTGCTGCATAGTTGCATTGGGTTTCTTGAAGGCAGTGTCCGGACTAGATGGAGTTTTCGGATTTCGAGGCCAAGCGAAAGTGGGTCCTCTCGGACATGCCATCGCGCAACTGGACGCCATAAAGTTTGAAAAAGCACCAATGCGGTCGGGAAGTTGGGAAACACGACCTGGGGCGGGAACTCCACCTGTTTACATTCCTGCTTTGCGGCAAAGTGCGCATATCTCCATAAAGAGTCGTGGGGTTGCGAAGCGACTCTGCTCCCTGCCTTGGCGGGGAATCATCCAGAAATGGAAAGGCTCTGGAAACATGTTCTCTCAATTTTTGCGGTCTTCAAAGTGGACTATCAAATTCAACGTTGCGGATAGCCCCCAGGTAAACGATTTGCCGGGTTCTTGCTCGGACACTTTGAGGTCTGATAGCAGTATGAATGATATAACAGTGCAGGAAAAGGGTAGCACTTTTTAGTATAAAAGATCAAGCACTCACAGCAACGTTGAATGGTACTGCTTCTCGGCGTTGTCTTTGTATAAAATGATCTCGATGCGGCCAGGTCGGAAAGGACTCTTATCATACATAGACGAGAAGTCTGAACCGCTTCCTGGTTCTTTTTTGCAGCCACACTCCTTATAGCGCTTGTGGAAAAATGTCACAGGATTGTCGTTTTCACATGTCTTATCTTTTCGTACAACAAGCATTCCAAAGACCGAGTCATACTTTGGCACTTTGCTGAGGTCGTCTTGATCTACTGTCTGATTCCAATAGATCTCAGCGATATTTGGATTTTTCCATCGGGACGAAACCGCGAAAATTATTTCGTCGCAGCTTTTGCTGTAATAATAATGGTACATTTTCTTTCTAGTATCCTTATCGACTGGGATCACGTGGAGTGTTGCAACAGACAAGTCCGCATCTTCATCTATTTTAGCGTTCGGATCGCATTCCTCCACCCAAAGTTTGGCCTGAAAAGTTCACAATATACTTTTCTTACAGAATACATCTGAATCTCTGTGATGAGATGATCTTCATTAATACCTGCTTGAAATCTCGTTATTTGCAAGTTCTCTAGCCGTAAATTTACGACTTTCGTTATCAAAATGATACAACTTCCATTTTTGACATTTTAACTGACAATGATTATCTCCGTTTCCTAGCACTGGTGTCATATCACTGTCATTCTCCTGCTCTCACTGTGATGGAATCCGATCTGAGACGCGGGTAAACGAATCATGGAGTGTAGTAAGCAGCTATTATTGAAGCTTTTGATATGATTTAGTACATTGAAACGGATTTGGGGTCTCTTACAAAAACAGTGACTGATGTATCATTATATTGAGCAGCAGTTTTTTGATCTCATAGGTGAAATTCTGAGCAAATCAGTGGCTTCTCTCATCATCCCTTGGCGCCTCCTAAACTTTTTGAGTACTTTCTGATTGAGTGACAGATTTGTAGATTTCTTAATCAAACATGATCATTTGCAAAATTCAAACGCGACCGACATTCACAGGTCAGTCAAGTTTATCTTTTGCAGGGAAGAAGATAATCTTACCATTCGCCAATTTTTGAAAGAACAACGCAGCGAAACACTTAGGCCCGTATGCACGTACATCCCTGCTGGGGAGGGGAGGGGAACTGAGAGGGGAAGTGCCATATCTCGCCTAATCTAGGTATATTTCTTATTTCTTCTCTATCTTCCTTATAAAAATCCTCATACCCTTATACCTGCGCATAATGGGTGCCATGTTACTGCCATACAAGATTGGTTTTCTGCCATTTTGTGAGATCTCCTGGAGATCCCCTAGGGATCCCCAGGGGATCACCCATTTTCAAAGTCATTTATCTTTCCGAGAAGTCAACGAAAACGTTGCAAACTTGTACTGAGGATATACTATTGCACTGCAAAGCATGTTTTTGACAGAAGAAATGGAATCTGAAGATTGTGAATTTTTCCATAATCCCTGGCTCGCGAGCAGTGGTTCATCGAAGATTTCGATATCCTGAGATTTTACTTGTTTCTACCATAAACATGTTCAGCAGTGCCGTAGTACATCCTCAGTACAATTTTATAGCATTTGCATTAACTTTTCGGCAAGATAAATGACTTTGAAAATGAGTGGTGATCCTCTGGGAATCCCTTTGGGATCACACGAATGGCAAAAAACCAATCTTGTATGGCAGTAACCTGGCATCCATTATGCGCAGGTATCAGTCAAAATGGCAAAAACCAATCTTGTATGGCAGTAACTTGGCATCCATTATGCGCAGGTATAAGGGTATGAGAACCTTCTTGAGCAAGACTAAAAAGGAAGAAGAAAGATACCTAGAGTCGCGAGATATGGCGCATCCCCTCTCAGCCCCCTCCCTCCCCAGCGTGGATGTACGTGCATGCGGGCCTTAGTCTTTTTGCATGGTAAACCCATATCGGCAGCGTGCATTGCGCAGAAATTGGGTAGATCTTGATTTTTAACAAACAGAAGAACATGAAAAACGTGTAAACAACTCTTTACTTCTCTTCGTGAGCTATTATAATTTACACAATTTCTATTAGTTTGGCGACAAGTTCAACTGCTTTTACGACTCTCACAAATGCTGCACACAAATTCTTGTCCAGTGTTTGGTATATTTGGGAAGAGCACTTCAATAGGAATTGAAGTATAAACTGTTTGTGAGACCAAGGAGAAAATCCGCAAAGAAGTAAAACCTCAGCTTTTTTCACAGTGCACTGATATGAGGACATTTGGTTATTCAAATTGAAGGTTTTCAAAATGGCAGATTACAATAATTGTTACTTACTAAATAGGGAGAGCTGCTCCGTACGAAAATTCCAAACTGCTATTCTCTACATCCTTTACAGCATGGAAACGAAGCTTTGGAAGTTAACGAATTGAGCTTCCAAAATTTTGGCCGTGTTTAGGCATAACCGTCTTTACCAATGAAAGGAAATCCCGAATTTGATATGTAAGGAAGCTTCAAACTACTTTCCCACAAAACAATGGATAGAAAACAACAAGGAAAATTTTTTTAATGAAAATTTGCATCCCAAACGACCTTAATTGTAGCCAAACTAAAATTTTATAGGTGAAGGTGAAAAGTATTGATTCTTGAGACGCGATTGTCGGGTGGGGAGGTTTTCGAGCTGATCTCAAACTAGCTCCGCACGGCCTTTATATGAAAAAGCTATGAAATTTTTTTACCGCAGGTTACGGAAAGCACTTTGATATACATTGCAATGCTAGCTCGGCAATAATTATTAGAGAGTTTCAATGCTGGTCAAGCTTGATTTCAAAGTGGCATGCAATGGCTTCGTGAGCATCTTCTTTCGCTTCTCAACGTAAAATTTTTTATATTAACAATAAACTATAGATAACTCAGTTTTTATATGCAATTGTTGCCATTCAAGTCTAGCCCGCAAATGCTATCTTGCTCACTACTCTCATTCAACGAAGAACTCTTTATGATCATGCCAACTGTCCCCAATTTCATTCCAGTTGCTCTGATGCAATAGAATGCGAATGTTCTTTTGAAACAAGATCCCAAGATGTGCAAATGCTCTGCAATGTCCTAAAGTATCAGAAAAAGTTGCAGAAATGTTCTACAGATGATATCAAGCCCATTGTAAAAGATTCCCAAGTCAAGCCCACTCATAGATTAAATTCATTGTTTTGACATTTGCTTGCACAAGGTGCTCCAATCTCTGAAAAAAAAAACTACATATACAGGGTGCGGCAAAAGTCTGGGAGCCTAACTTTGCAGTACTGCAATTACAAGGATACTGATGGTTTTGATTTCAATTTTATGTCACATGATGCTGCGGTCATCGTCTACAGAATACACTTTATTTGGCTGGAAATGGCTGCCATATGTTTTTGTAAGAATGGAAATACCAAACTAGTACTTTTGCAAAGCGAAAAAACCAGAATTTTTTGGTATTTACAGTTTTTGCTGTAACTAGAGATGCTGTTAATATTTTACAAAACTTCGATGCATACAACATAGAAGAGGCGCTATTGTATCCTAGTTTTGCTTTTGCCAGGAGCTGTTCTTGCATGAACGGATAATAAAAGTTTGCGAATGTTACCTTCGTGCCAGTGGAAATCCGTCTTCAAAACAAATTTAAAAGCTATAGAATGCTCGACAGGCACTGGGACCAAGGCTGTATTTTTTGCATGCGTCTTCTAAATTAGAATCTATCGAAAGCCATGGGAACACTTTTTATATTTTTCAAACGATAATTTTGAGCTTTTATACGCGCAGTGTAGCCAAAATACCGGTATGCGATGTACATATGCTTCTAATTGAAAATCCAAGATTTTTATTCCTAAGCAATGCAAAAAATTCTTTTGGAAGCATTTTATAGATAAAAGCATGCTCTGTCGTGCTGCACATTTGCCAAGGTAAAAGAAGCAGTTACTGAGAAGGCGTGAGGCAAATTCCTATGACTACCTGCGTGCCATGACAGGTGGACTTGCCAAGATTTTGTAGGGCTGCGTGGAGCCCAAAAGAGGCACTTTTCCAATTCAAGAACTGAGCTGTATCTGCAATGGTTTGAATTATGTTGCCCCAAATTTTTCGTTTCTAGGTACTTCCCTTATCGTTTTGTACGAAAAAGTTCTAGGCTCCGACTTTTGCCGCACCCTGTACTGTAGGAAGCACAGCAAACACGAGGTGTACTTTAAAAGCATCTAAAATTTCGAATTCTTTTCTCCTAGATGGCTTACAGATTAAAGCCATCAAAGCACATTAAATCATCGCCCTATCGAACTTTCCGTGTTTGCAGTATACTTCGCATTCCAAGGAATTCCCACGGCTAACAGCGGCTGACAGAGTTTCTTATAGGCTTATGCCTATCTTTTTGTCAGCTGTTAGCTTATCTGTGGCATTCTCTTGTTTAATGGTATTTTGTTCATATTCGCTCGCTTATAAAAGTGAAAGGCTCGCACGCATACAAATGACTCTTCGACTATGAAATAGTATTGGCCGCAGAGGGACTGAAAACGCCAAATTCTTTATCCTTTATCCATTTATTATGAAAGTAGCTGACAGAGCATAGTGTACTATTGTGTCTTTTCTTGTTTGGTTTCCCCTTCTTGTTTGTTTGCTTTTATGTCAGACTTTGTATCACTCCATTTATCCGCTTTTCTCACATCCTTCGTTACCTCACAAAGTTCACAGACTCACCTTTTCAAATCCCTCGCGGCAATTCACAAACTCTTCGATCACATATGCTTGTAAGTATGCTAATTGCCATTATCATAGTTGCGGTAATGTTGTTATTGAATAATGAAGCTTTATTTACTCATGTTTGTGGTACACACTATGCACGAAAGTCCCGGTGGCAACCGATCGACAACACACATACATCACACTCATAGAGCATTCACTTACAAAGAAAAACGTTTAGGAAAGAGTTTTTATCTAACATTTGTTGCATGAGAACCGATAAAATGCGGTTCTAAAATTGTAGGTTTTAAAGTGGTAGATTACAATAATTGTTACTCACTAAATAGGGAGAGCTCCCCCGTACAGAAATACCAAACTGCTGTTCTCTACATCCTTTACAGCATGGGAACGAAGCTTTGGAAGTTAACGAATTGGGCCAAAATTTTAACCGTGTTGAGGCATAACCGTCTTTACTAGTGATAGAAAATCCCGAATATTTGATATGTAAAGAAGCTTTAAACTACTTTCCCGCAAATCGATGGAGAGAAAAGTGGAAAAGTTCTTTTTTATGAAGATCTGCATCCCAAACGACCTTAATTGTAGCCAACCCAAAAAATTTTTAAGTGCAGGTAAAAAGCATTGATTTCTGAGGCGCGATTTTCGGGTGGGTTTTTCGAGCTAATCTCAAACTAGCTCCGCACGGCCTTTTCATGAAAAAGTTATGAGTTTTTTACCGCAGGTCACGGGAAGCACTTTGATATACATTGCAATGCTAGCTCGGTAATAATTATTAGAGAGTTTG